TTCTTCAACAAGTGCAGCCTCCTCCTGCACGCCCGCGAGCACAAGGACAAGGGGCTGGTCATGCAGTGCTCCCACCTGGTCATGCGCCCCATCGCCCTGGACCAGATGGTGGGCCAGCCCGACATCACCCCCCTGGTGCCCGTGGCTTCCTTTCCCGCCGGGAGGGTGGCCCAGGAGGGCCCCGGCGTGGCCAACGGGGCGCAGGAGCCGCCGGTGCTGCCCCTGGGAGGGTCGGAGCAGGGCAGCTACAGCTGCTTCAGGTGCCTGGAGTGCAAGGAGCAGTGCAAGGACAAGGCCGGGCTGGCGGCGCATTTCCAGCAGCAGCAAGCTAGGGCGAGCAGCAAGGGCGGGAGCGTCCGGCAAGCAGAGGGATGTGTGTAGGGAAGGGGGGGAAGATGGTGGGAAAGGGCAGTGGGAGATGGTGGAATAGACAGTGGGAGGTGGTGGGAAGGCAGTGGAATGTGGTGGGAGGGCAGTGGGAGGTGGTAGGAGGGCACTGGGAAGGCGATGGGACATGATGGGAAGGCAGTGGGAGATGGTGGAAGACGGGGAGATGATGGGAGGATGGTGGGAGATGATGGGAAGATGGTGGGAGGTGGTGGGAGGCAGTGGGATGTGGTGGGAGATGGTGGGAGATGATGGGAGATGGTGGGAGGGCAGTGGGATATAGTGGGAAATGATGGGATATGATGGGAGATGGTGGGATATGGTGGGATATGATGGGAGATGGTGGGAAGGCAGTGGGATATGGTGGGATATGGTGGGAGCTGGTGGGATATAGTGGGATATGGTGGGAGCTGGTGGGATATGGTGGGATATAGTGGGATATAGTGGGAGCTGGCTGTAACCCCTGGGCAGTGGGATATGGTGGGAGCTGGTGGGAGATGGTGGGAGCTGGTGGGATATAGTGGGATATGGTGGGATATGGTGGGAGCTGGCTGTAACCCCTGGGCAGTGGGATATGGTGGGATATAGTGGGATATGGTGGGAGATGGCTGGAGATGGTGGGATATAGTGGGAGATGGTGGGAGATGGTGGGATATGGTGGGATATGGTGGGATATGATGGGAACTGGCTGTAACCCCTGGCAAACCCGCCGTTCCGGGCGGGCTGACCCCGTGGAATCCCCCCATCCCAGGTGTGCTCCACGTGCCCCATGATCATGTCCAACCGCTGCAGCTTCAGCGCTCACCAGCGCATGCACCGCAGCCGCCCCCCGCACGTCTGCCCGGAATGTGGCGGCAACTTCCTGCTGGCCAACTTCGAGTCCCACCTCAAGGAGTCCTGCCTGCACTTCTCCCGCAGGGTGGGGTACAGGTACGGCCCCGAAATCCCGGGATTCCCTGGGGGGAGGCCCCGAATCCGTCGGGTTTCCCCTCGAACCCGCCGCGTTTCCCGTCCGGGCGGATCCGGGTTCCTTCTTCCCTCTGTGAACGTCGTCCTTTGCCCCTTCCCTGCTCTCATCCCATGGGAATTCCCGTCCTCCTGGGGCTTCCTGGGCAGCCTCGATCCCAGCTGGAAGCATCCAAGGCCTGCGGTCCATCCCTGCTGGAATTTGGGATCTGCCAGCGCTGGGATGATCCAGGCTGGAGTTTGGGACTGGCACTGGGTTGGATCCTGGTGGCTGTGGGAGTTTTCCCAGATCCTGGTTTGGATCCTGGTGTCTGGTGGAGTTTTCCCAGATCCCAGAACCAGGTTGGATCCTGGCTGGTGGAATTTTCCCAGGCCCAGCCCTGGGTTGGATCCTGGTCTCTGTGGGATTTTTCCCAGATCCTATTTTGGATCCTGGTGTCTGTGGGAGTTTTCCCAGATCCTGGTTTGGATCCCACTGGCTGTGGGAGTTTTCCCAGATCCTGGGTTGGATCATGGTGTCTGTGGGACTTTTCCCAGATCCCAGCCCTGGGTTGGATCCCGGTGTCCCCCCCGACATCCTGGTACCTTTCTCCCATTCCCATTCCCGTTATTCCAGGTGTCCCAGCTGTGCCTGTATCCCGTTCCCATTCCCATTCCAGGTGTCCCAGCTGTACCTGTATCCCATTCCCATTCCAGGTGTCCCAGCTGTGCCTGTATCCCGTTCCCATTCCCATTCCAGGTGTCCCAGCTGTACCTGTATCCCATTCCCATTCCAGGTGCCCCAGCTGTGCCTGTATCCCGTTCCCATTCCCATTCCAGGTGTCCCAGCTGTGCCTGTATCCCATTCCCATTATTCCAGGTGTCCCAGCTGCGCCGTGGTCTTCGGGGGGGTGAATTCCATCAAATCCCACATCCAGACTTCCCACTGCGAGGTTTTCCACAAGTGTCCCATCTGTCCCATGGCCTTCAAGTCGGCTCCGAGCGCCCACGCCCACGTGTACACCCAGCACCCGGGATTCGGGAACCAGCAGTCCAAGTGAGTGGGAATCCAGGGAATCCCGGGAATCCCGGGATCCCCTCATTCCAAGGGATCGTCCTGGAGAAACGGGAGAGGCCCCCTGGGGACGTTGGGGTTGGATATCGGGGGGAATTCCTGCATGGAAACGGGGGTCGGGGGGCTGGGATGGGGGTGTCCAGGGATACAACCCGTGGGAGTGTCCTGGGAATCCGTGGGAATGTCCTGGGAATCCGTGGGAATGTGGGGATGTGGCGCTTGGGGACAGGGATCCATTGGGAACCTGGAGGGAATGGTGGGATTCAAGGACCTCGGAGGGGTTTTCCAACCTGGACAATTCCAGGATTGTTGGGACTGGGAGTCTGACCCAGTTCCCGGGGTTTTTCCTGGTGGTTCTCCCAGAGTTCCCCGGGGGGTTTTCCTGGGATTCCCAGGGCTTTTCCTGGTGGTTTTCCCAGGGTTCCCTGGGGGGTTTTCCCGGGGTCCCTGAGGGTTTTCCTGGGGTTCCCAGAGGTTTTCCTGGGGTTCCCAGGGTTCCTGGGACTTTCCCAGGGTTTTTCCCAGGGTTCCTGGGGGTTTTCCTGGGGTTCCCAGGGGGTGTTCCCAAGGTTTTTCCCAGGGGTGTCCCCAGGGGTTTTCCTGGGGCTTTTCCCGGGGTTTTTCCCGGGGGTTTTCCTCAGGATTCCCAGATTTTTTCCCGATGTTTTTCCCATGTTTTTTCCTGGGCTGCCAACCCCCTGTGGGTGTCCCTGTGTGTGCCCAGGCTGAGCTACAAGTGTCACACGGTGTCCATGTGTGTTCCTGTGTGTGTCACACACGTGTTCATGTATGTTTTTATGCCCCAGGCTGATCTACAAGTGTGCCATGTGTGACACGGTGTCCCTGTGTGTCCATGTGTGTCCATGTGTGTCCCCATGTGTCACACATGTCCCTGTATGTCCCCAGGCTGATCTACAAGTGTGCCATGTGTGACACGGTGTCCATGTATGACACATGTATGACACATGTATGTGTTTATCCCCCCAGGCTGATCTACAAGTGTGCCATGTGTGACACGGTGTCCATGTGTGTTCCTGTGTGTGTTCATGTATGTTTATCCCCCCAGGCTGATCTACAAGTGTGCCATGTGTGA